ACCAACCAAAAACTACTGCGTAGAATTAATTGGAATTTTTCACACACAAGCCTTGCTATATGAGCTCTCAAAGCATATAAAAATTATACGGCTTAAATGTGAAGTTGGGTGGAAAAGAATACAATTAAATCCTCTGTCGGGAAAAAACGAAATGACTTTCCGAACAACCCTATAAATTAAAAATCGATTCAATGCAAAATTTACACATAAAATCGTTAGTGTAGTTCTTATTTTGTTAGATTTCATATGTCCAGAAACGTTGTACGAAATAAATATGGATTTATAACTATTTTAAATAAAAGCTGTTCTCCCATAACAATATGAATGTAAATAAACACTTCTACAATCCCAACTACTAATTTGATAACCCATAAGAGCAAAAGATAGTTATAGAACTTGAGCAGCAACGATATGAAGGGAGTCATACAAGGATGCACATTGTCACCGCTACTTTTTAATCTATACAGTGATGATACAAGATGCGATAAACATCATTACTTATAGGATAACTTTAGGGATAAATGCACAGGGGTAAAAAAGTTTAGTATGCTTAGATTTGCAGATGATATAATAATATTGGCATCTAGCAAAAAGGAGTTAAATATAGTATTAAATAAAATGGAAGCAGTATTGACAAAATAGTATTGCATGAAAATAAGCAAAAGTAAAACAAAAATACTAGTATAGAAGGGAAGAAGAAAGAGTGAATACGAATATACGAGACGAGAAATTAAAAGAAGTGGCTGATTTTCGGTATCTACGAAGTCAGATAATTCAGGGTGGAAAAAGCAGTAAAGATATAAAACAAAGAATAGCGCAGGGTCTAGTCGCCTTTAACAAAAACACGTCACTTTTATACTTGCGAAGGGTTAATTTAGAAATTCGAAAAAGAATGTTATGGGTGCGAAACATGGACGGTGGGCGCGGTGGAAAAGAAAAAGTTAGAAGCGTTCGAAATGTAAAGTTACAAGCGAATGATGAGGATACCGTTGATAGAGAAGGTTAGAAATGAAGAGGTACTAGGAAAACAGAGGACTTTATGGAAGTCAATAAGAAATAGGCGAGATAGGTTGGTAATAAACCTTCTCAGACATGAAGGTAGTCAGAAACATTTTAGAAGCAGAAACAGGACTTAAATGGAGCAGGGGTAGACCTAGATTAGATGGCTGCTAACAAATGGTTAAGGATGTTTAAGGGAAATGCGAAGATTAGCTCAGGATAAATAAGAGTGGAGGTGAATGCAATGTTTTGGTTTATTGCAGTGGGATCAATGTGGAATCGTAATGACACCGTGTCGAAAACTAGGCCTAAATTAATCTATCTTGGATGTTTTTCGCACAATGTTATATATATAATAGATCATGCGCATCGGTTTTCGTTTTGTAACAGCTATGTATGAATAGTTGCGAATATCTAATTTTACTTTTGTGGAAACGGAATGTAGGAGAACAAAGATTGTACCTGTTTGTATTTTCGTGTATGGTCTATAATAATCGTCTATAATAGGAATACATATTTGTTTTGTACGATTAAGGCTAAAAACAAGTCTCTGAATTTAATTAATTTTCAGAACAATACTCGACGGTTTGAAGAAATATATTCTAATGTTCTGTTTTCTAAATAGGTTTTCAGTTTGTAGATTCGAAACCAACTCCATGTGAACGGGTTTTATAAATAAAGAAAGATAACTGAATTTGCTTCCATGAAATTTGCAAATTTTGTAAACAATGACCATGGAACCAACCTAATTCATATTCCCTTGTGATATATCAAACGATTCCGTATATGTATAGTAATAATTACGGCCAATTGAAGGCAACAGTAATTCACTATCACCCCAATGTCGAGAACGTAGCAAGCTTTTTTTTGTATGGGCCAAGGGTGTGCCACACTGTCGCGTGATGCGTTCAAGTTCCGTAAAAATGATAAACTTAAAGCATAAGTAAGTATTTATTTAATCTTACATTACTCAAAACGCCTTGAGTTTCATGATAACATTAGTAGATATATTACGCTGCTAAGAAAAATAAAGAAGTGAAATTTTTTTGGTTAAATAATTTAGAAATCATGTTCATACAGGGAAAATCGAAAAACAATAGATACATACATTGTATTTTGGCGTCAAATAAAAATATGGTATAGTTTTGCATTAAGTAAACCGTTTTAGTTTGTGTGATTTTAAATTTTACGTTTTTAATTAATATTATATTAATCTAATATTCAGGGTGGATCAGCAGATGGATCAGAATCTTCAATGCAGTGTTCTTGAAACAATGAAAAAAGCTAGATCCCCCCAAGTATCGATTAAGTCAATGATAGTAACTATAACAAAAGGAATTTCCGGTAAAATTAAGTATAAAACTCCTAGATCTCTTAGAGTTTAAAACTAACTGCAGCGAATTTTAGAATTACATTTTTATACGGAAATATTTTTTTAATCAATTTTATTACACTTACTACTGGCTCAAATATTGTACTATTTGACTATAAACATTACAACCAGTGTCGGATTTACCGGCAGGCTGAGTAGGCTTGAGCGTAGGGCGGCAAATTTGGGACCAAAATTGTTTTTTGTCTTACAGGAATTAGAAAGATTCACATTTATATACCGAAATATTATCAGGTCCACACAAACAATTCAACATCTAATATGTTTCACCATTCGTGAGATGACCGTTCACTAAATGTGCGTTGATCTAAAATCCAATGTTAATTAAATCGTTGGGTTGTAAAAATAATCTAGGAACTGACACATCGATGCCCTAGTTTACAATCATACTAAATACAGTCACTAGGGGCGGCAAAATTTAAATAGCCTACTGGCGGAAATTATGTAAATCCGCTACTAATTACAACACACTTTTTAAAAGTGTCTTTGCTATTAAGGAACGATCAACATGGTCGATTGGAATAGTCATTTGATTGACGCGGACAAAACTGACTTTCATGATTTAGTATTACCT